GTTAAACATAATACTTAGAGGTAAGTTTTCGGTGAGGCAAAAAGGAGCTTTTAAACAAAAGTTGCTCTGATTTATAAGGTCTTTTGAATTTATGTTCTTTTTGCTGTAAGTCCTTTGGGTCTTGTTCAGGATTATTATTCCTAACGATGGTTTTGTATATTAATGTCAACCTGGTTTCTATTTACCATTACATCTTTGGGGACATTTTAGCTCTCTGGAAACATCTGTGGCACTAGATTTTAAATTTCCTTGTCTGATATTAGTGTTAACAGAGTTAGACAACAAGTAGATTTCAAGCTGTATTTTTCTTGGGTCATAGAAGGATCATTCCTGGCTCTACTCTTTCCTTTCTGGAACCCCCACTGGGGTGGGATTAATATGTAGTGAACATTTAATATGGCTTTTGATGGAGAATCTAGAGGGTACAGCACTTCACTCATTTCTCACAACAACGCTATCAGTAGGAATTATCTTCTTCATTTTGTATATGTAGAAAATGAGACTCACAGTCTATAAGAAGCTTTCCCAGTTACACAGCCAGACAATTCATACAGGTGTATGCTGAATGTTGAGAAAACATAGCTGAGACTCAAAGAGTCTCATAGATGAGAAACCGCTGTAAGGTATCGTTAGGTCCTGACTACATTGTACATTATTTCTTCAAAATCAGATAGCTAGTAAGTGATATGGCAGAAGTTTAGACCAGATTGCTGCTTCCACACAGAAATTTTAAAGAATGTTAAAAATGCAAGAAACTAAAGGTAGAAAAATGCTATCCCAACAGTACGATTTTTAGAAAGTCAACTACATTCGATGTCTGTTTCCTAATCTGCAAATTTTGGTTTTGTTCTTCTTAATAACCAGGGGCAAAGTATTTACACACATAGTGTCACTTAATTGATTACTGCATACCTGTAAAGAAGGCTCTTGCTTCTGGTAACAATTCAAGTATACTGCATTTCTAGTTTCTTTGGATTTATAATTGCACGAAAAATTTCACAAAGAAATGCCAGCCATACTGTGCTATATTTCATCCATACTTCATCACATTCTTTGCTGAGAAATTTCTCTACATATACAGATACTTCTACAGAGTACAGAACCCTGCCATTGTTACTTTAGCTGACCAGTAATGGATACTTTTCATTTCACACAGCATCTTAAACATTCTTGGATTATTTTCATCCCAGAGTATGTACTTGGTATTCTGTCTAGACCTCTTCCTTCTGGAAAGCTTTTCTGTTCTCATAAGTCCTATCTCTTTTGTATGGGCAACTCCCTAAGCAAAATCTCTCCTTATCCCATTTCTATCTTACCAGCTTATTCTGGGACATAATCTCAACACCCACCCCCAAAACAGGAAGGACCAATCCTCTGAAACTCATCCCCTGTTTATGTTGCTGAAATCATCATTCCTGATTTCTGGACCAGAAACCTGAATATTGCATTTCTCTGGTTCATGTTTAGTATAAACTCTCGACAAAGATTTGTTTCTTACTTTCAGATGTTATCTAGGTTCTTCCTCTCTGGTCCATTCATGTTATGCTTGTGCAGACTCCGACCCCATCAACTAAGATACCTGCTATGGCTTCTAACACATTTCCCCACTGCAGGCTGACTTTTCCCGAACTAACCTCACTATCTTGGCTTGGTCTTCTCTCTTCTCTTACCTGTATTTCTGCCGCAGCTGCCTAATACCTCCCTCCTCACATCTTGCCATCATCGCATCCATTTTCTATGCTGCTATAGGATGTATCTTTCTTTTTTGTGTGTGTGTGGGAGGTATATATATTTTTTTTAGTAGAGATGGGGTTTTGCCATGTTGGGCAGGCTGGTCTTGAACTCCTGGCCTCAAGCGATCTGCCCACTTCAGCCTCCCAAATTGCTGAGATTGCAGGTGTGAGCCACTGTGCCTGGCTGGGATGTATCTTTGTGAAACACAATGTTTATTCTGGGGGCAAGTGAGTGATACTGTCAAGGCCAAAGTCCTTGGCATAGCGTGTGGAGCATTTCATGATTGATTTCATGATTTATTCTACAGGCGTGTGAGTGCCTGCTCTAAGTCAGGCACAATGGCAGGTGCTGGGCATTGAGCACAAGACCCAGTTCCAACTTTAGAACAGTCCGGTATCCACACACTTCTCTGCCCTTATCTTTGCACACAAAGAACCTGCCATGCTAGCTTCCACTAATGCTGACCGACTTCCCAACTTCTCACATATTTATTCTTCTAGAATGCCTTACCTTTTAAAAAAAAAATAGTTAAGTTTTATTGAGCCCTTGCTACATGCAAGGTATTGTTCCAAATGCTTTATAGGTAATGACTCCTTTAAATCTTACATTACTTTGCTAGAGCTGCCATAACAAAGTGCCACAAAGGAGTGGCTTACACAGCAGAAATCTATTGTCTTACAGTTCTGGAGGCCTGAAGTCCAAGACTGAGGCATCCGCAGGTTTGGTTCCTGCTGAGGTATGTGAGGAAGGCTCTTCTTCCAGCCCCTCCCCCAGCTGCTGGAAGTTTGCAGGGAATCTTTGGAACTCCTTGACTTGCAGAAGCATCACCCTGATCTCCGTCTTCATTTTATGTGGTGTTCTCCCTGTGTGCATGTCTGTGTTCAAATTCCCCCTTTGATGAAGACATCAATCATGTTGGATCAGGGCCCACCTTACTCCAGCATGACCTTATCTTAACTAACCACATCTGCAACAAGCCTGCTTCCAAATAAGGTACATGCTATGGAACCAGGGATTAGGACCCCAATATATCAACATTGAGAGGACACAGTTCAGTCATAACAATTGTTAAAGTAAATTAAAATGGAAATTAGGCCTGAAGAATCACTGGGCAGAAAAAGCCAGTTAGGTTTCATAAGTCACCTTAACCTTGCTTGATCTGCAAACACAAGCAAAACTGAACATGAGCGATTTCTTTTTTTTTTTCTTTTCTTTTTTTTTGAGACAGTCTCACTCTGTCGCCCCAGCTGGAGTGCAGTGGCACAATCTCAGCTCACTGCAACCTCTGCCTCCCAGGTTCAAGCGATTCTTCTGTCTCAGCCTCCCGAGTAGCTGGGATTACAGGGGTGTGCCACCACACCCAGCTAATTTTTGTATTTTTAGTAGAGACAAGGTTTCACCATATTGGCCAGGCTGGTCTCAAACTTCTGACCTTGTGATTCACCCACCTCAGCCTCCCAAAATTCTGGGACTACAGGCATGAGCCACTGTGCCTGGCCAACATGAGCTATTTCTTATAAATGCCTGTATTAAAGAAAAATGAAATTTAAGGCTAACCAATCAGAAGCTGCCAACTAACTCTTAACACCAGGACTAGCATGCCCTACATTTAATCAACATATCCTTCATCACGCAGGTGAGATGTCCCCTCTCTCAGGCAGCTCTCCATGACTACCCTCCCCGGCTGGACAGGGGCTTCTCTCAGCTTAGCTCCATCAGAACAGTTAGGACACGCTACTGTGATCTTCTGTGTACTTGACTAATCTTCCAAATAACTCATGAGCCCTCTGAACACAAGGACCACGTATTATTCATCCATGAGTCTCCAGGAGCAAGCACAAGATCTGGTCCAGCTCTCAGTTGCTGAACATTGTCTACCTGATATTTCATCATGTCAGTTTCCTTCTCAAGAAGTTACAGGGTCTTCTGGTTGCCTGTTCTATCAAATGAATCATCTGGCTTTGAAGATGTGACTTTTTCACATACATCCAAACAGATTCCTACATATGCACTTAGAGCGGACACAACAGTTATTTTTTCCTTTTCTCACCTCTGTGCTGTGCTGCCTTCTAGTTTTGATTCCTCTGTCTTAGATTCCTGGGTAATGACACTCATCCAAATCCTACCCATTTTTCAAGGCTAAGCTCAAGGCTTGCCTTTATTGTGAAGCACTCTCCACCTATTGTATGCCACATGGATTGCTCACTTCTTAGACTTGTCTCCTAATGGTTTGTGTGAGTAGCCGGCAGATGAGGACCAGGACTGAGAACTCTTAGTTCACCCTTGTTGAGTATAACAATGGGCACCTATAAATATTCATCTTGATATGGAAGGACTGAAAAATGAGTCTTTAGCCATAAACAGCTGGCTTTTAGGAATAATAGGGAGAACAAAACTTCTTGTGTGATTGACACAATACATATTGTAGCTTAACATGTCCCCAGACCAACTGAAATGCCCTCATCTCAGTTAATGGCAAATCCTGTCAGCTCTGCATTCAAAATATATACGACCTCTCTTTTTATCATCCCCTCCTAGTCTCTGGTCCAGGCCACCATCTTGCCTAGATTACCATGCAGTCTCCGAAGAGGTTGCCCTTCTTCTGCCCTTCTGCTCAGCAATCTGATCTCAAAAGAGCAAAGAACAATCATGGCACTTTGAACTTTGCCTTCTTTCTGCACGTCAGCTCCATGAGGACAGCTATTGTTTTGTTTACTGCTGTGCCCCCAGCACCTAATCAGGGACTGGCATACGGATAGTGCATTATCATCTTTTGAACGAATAGCAATTGCTTTGTGGTTGTGCAGCCACTAACTAATTGTACCTGCTGCCTTTCCTTGGCAGCGCATCATAATAGGATAAAAGCAAAGGGAACAATTCAATTGTCAGGGTCAGTGATGTCCTCTGGGACTTTCTTTCAACTTGCATTAAGTCCAAGAGCCTCTTTGCAAATGAGAGCATGACACCAAGACAAAGCACATCAGCGTGGCTTTCTAACCTCCACGCTTGCCCAAGATGGGACAGGGTGAGTTCACTGCTCTGACCTCTCACCAGACATTACTTGCTTTCCAAAAAGATCCGAGGACTCTGGGACGTGGAGATATTACTGAACTCAATATGTGTATATTTAAACATTTACTTCGCTGTTCCCACACACTTATATTCTTCCCAAGAACACCCCTGGGTGTATCAGAAGAAATTTAAAAAGGTAAAAGTATATTTGTAGTAGAAAAGTATACTCTTGATGGTCTTTGTCAAGTACTCACCACTGTCAATTGCCAGGAAGAGAGCAGTGTACACGCTGTTGTCGACAAATGGGGACTCACGGTCCAGCACAGCTGTGGTGTCAACAGTCCCATTGATGGGGTTAATATTCAGCCAACCTGCTGGGTCCTTGTAAACAGAATACCTGAAAACAAATCCCAACAATGTCACACTCTGCATTCAAAGCAGATTCAAGAAACATTTACAGAGTGCAGGGCATGAGCTCCTATGAACCCAAAACCATCATTTCTGTTACAGTTGCTCATTCACAAAGTCATGAGGCCACTGACTCTGGGTTTGCTTTGTGTTAAGCACTTTGTGTGTGTGCCTCCTTTATTCCTCTTGACACTCCTAGGAAGAAGATGCTGTTGCAATCTGCCCAGCTCTCACAGAGGCAAAGCAGAGTTCACAGTCCAAATCCTGAGTCCAGGTCCAGTCTTGTGTCTTTCACTCCTGGGATACATCTTGTCTGTGGATTAGTGGGAAAATTGCTGTTGTGAAGGTACAAGCAAGGCACATCAATGCTTGGAGAAGAACTCACTACCTCTGATCCAGGGCAATATTGGGTACCTCACAAGGAATGCTGCATCCTAACCAAGACAGGAGGAATAGATAGTATGTCATCAGAGATGGAGAGGACAGAAAAACCAGGAAAAGAGAATATGACTTAACAAATTGTATCAGTCCATCTTCACACTGCGATAAAGACATACTAAAGACTGGGTGATTTACAAGAGAAAGAGTTTTAATAGACTCACAGTTCCATGTGGCTGAGGAGGCCTTACAATCATAGTGGAAGGTGAAAGGCACATCTTACATGGTGGCAGATGAGAGAGAATGAAACCAAGCAAAATGCGTTTCCCCTTATAAAACCATCACATCTCCTGGGACTTATTCACTATCATGAGAACAGCATGGGAAAGACCTGCCCCTACAATTCGATTACCTCCCACAGGGTCCCTCCCATAATATGTGGGAATGCAAGATGAGATTTGGGTGGGGACACAGCCAAACTATATTACAGATGGAACAGAGACATTCATTACGATGTAGGTTACATGCGGGCAAGAAATTTGTTCACTGCTGTGACACCAGCTGCTTGAACACTGCTTAGCACATACGCGACACTCAATAAATATTTGCTGGGTAAATGAATATTTAGGGACTAGAAAGTAGAGGGTTGTGTTTGAAACAGCTTCTTTAAGGGAACTAAAAGTTAATGAGTTTTGAGAAACAGATTAGACAAGATTGTAGAGAGCCTGAACTACTGTTTTAACGGGTTTGGACTTTGGATAATGGGAAACCATCCAAGATTTAAAAATGTTACTTGTTTTGAGGCTGCTCTTTTGAAGTTTAAACAATACAGAGATGCACAGAGTAAGAAATAATAGTCTTATCTATCAGGGAGACTCAAATTGGGCATGATTCAGCTTTCTTTGAATTGGGTGGCTTGGATAACGTGCCACTTGCAGACCTAAGCCAGAAAGATGCTGTTGGCGCTTTTCTGCCATTTCCTACTGATCTTTGAAGTATATCCCCAGGAAGAGACATGGGAACTGATAGCTCCTTGGTTTGGTAAAGATGCATGAGGTTGATTTTCTCTGCCTTGTATGGCCAAGTTTGGGTCTAAGGATGTTTAAAACCTGATTTAACCAACAGGATTGAAAAATCTCCAACTGAAGGGCTTGGAGCAAATGACTTTCAACTCTTCACAGGGAAAAAGATATCTACCTCCTAATCCTGGAACTTGGGAATGTTACCTTACAAAGCAAAGACTTTGCAGAGCTAAGGATTTTGAGATGAGATTGTTTTGGGTTATCTGGGGGGTGTTTGGGGGGTGCTAAGTGCAATTACAAGTGTCCTCAGAGGGAGATGTGAGACACAGAAAAGGAGAAGACCACATGACTGCGGAGGCAGAGATTGGAGTGATGCGGCCACAAACCAAGGAATGCTGCAGCCACCAGAAGTGGGGAGTGGCAGGAAGGATCCTCCCCTAGACCTCCAGATGGAGCATGGCCCTACCAACACCTTGGTTTTGACTCAGTGAGACTGATTTTGGACTTCTGGCCTCCAGAACTGTGGGAGAATAAATTTCTAGCCTCCATGTCTGCAATAATTTGTTACCGTGGCATAACTGATTTATTATAGTAGGTATAATATCCCCACTTACAGATGAGGACTCTGAGACACAAACCAACAGCTACTCAAGTCGTAGAGTCAGGATGTGGGCCCAGGTGGTCTGACTTCGGAGCTGCGACCCTGAACCCACACTCAAAACTGCTTCCCAGCTAACTTAGTGACTCAGGGTGGGTGGTCACCAGGTATGTTTCATCTGAAGGATCTTACTTTGAAAAAGATACTGAATTCTGAGAAAAGGTGGCCTCTGAGGATACAGTTAGGTTGAATCGAAATGTGGTAGGCGGGATTATGCAGATGTAGGTGGAAGCAAGGGGGCTGCCTCCTGTGTGGCCAAGGAGAAGAAGAACTGCCCTTGTCCATGACTTAAAGGTCATCTTGGGGACAGCAGTGGGATTGTTACCTGGCAGAGGCTGTGGTCACTGAGGAAGGGATGGTCAACTTGGGTTGTTGAGAAGGGGAACCAGGGAATAAGAAATTGTTGGCTGACAAAGGGAATGGGCATCTGTGCAGTCACCACAAGCCTCACGGCGCCCCAGGACAGACAACAGTTCACCTACCACCCTTGCCTGGCCACTATCCAGAGCCCCTCTGAGTGCTCCTAGCCTCTCCTGGAGTCTCAGCACCAACCACCTGGAGGTCTTTGGGCTTCCAGTCAGCATTGCCAGATGCTCTGATGCAGCGCTGTTGTAAATTTAATTCACACGAAGGCACTCTGATTTGGTATCAGTCCTTTTCGTGTTGGGGTCATGCGAACTGACCCAAGAATCAAATCAAGTTTTTGTCCTGCAAAGTGGATGTACCAGATCCCCCAACTGCAGAAGGACGCCAGGAGAGGCTCCTGCTGATGCTTCCAGGAAGACGTCTGGTCTGGTCTTTTCTAAAACAGCCTCGGGGCGCAGCCTGCATTTCATATTGATAGTGACACAGCTGCAGCAGCATGGAGCCTTACATTGCACCGGCTGGGCACCGCTCCAGGAGCTTCCAGCATCTACGCCTTTAGCCCGCAAACCAGCACTGGGAGGTTGATATTATTCCTCCCCTTTTACAGATGAGGAACTGAGAGGCCTAGAGATATGTGAACTTTGCCAAGGTCATTGGTTAGTATGGGGCATGGTTGGGATTTGGAGGCTGGCTCTCTGGTGCCAAGGCCTGCTGTCACCCTCTGTGCTGCCTCTGCCGAGCCGTTCACATCGCCATCATCACATGGCCGTTACAGTCATGGACTTTGGAGAGGAAAGGACCTGGGTTGTAACTTTGAGCTTAGCAAGCTACTTCTCTGTGTTTCCGCTTCCTCCTCTGTGACCTGGGGACAGTCCCACTGGTGTTGTCGGGTAGCTGTGAGGGCAAACTGAGGCTGACACAAAGGGCTTGGTCTCGTTCAGGGCACTTGTGGGGGAGCTGTTGCAGAGTCAGACTGTGGGTATGTTAGTGGCTCACTGGGGTCATGGCCTCGTGTGTCCTCCCTGGTGTGACTCACATTGTCCCCCGGAATGTTTCAGAAACATCCGACTCAGCAGAGCCTCGGGGAACAATGCTTTGAAGCTGCCACTGTGACAGGGGACAGATGGGGAGAACGGATGAGGCGAACGCGGGCTTCCACACGCCCTTGCTGCTGCAATGATCCTTTCACTATTTTGTGAAAACAGAAGCGATGAATTACTCACGAGAATGAACTGCTTTAAAAACGCCAGCCTTTCGTTTAAAGAGTCATTTATGCTTCCACCTGGCAAACTTCTACTGTGTTTCAAGACCCCACTCATACATCTCCTCTCGTTCACCCGGTGTGACTTTCCCAGTAGAATTAATCACCCTCAGTAGGTCTGTGCGAGGCACATGCACTGGTAAAAATGCTTTTGGTAGCCTAACACGGGCCCTGATGGCTCTGCCATCTCCACCAAACTCTAAGCTCCTTGGTGTCAGGACAGGTAAAAGTTGGTCATTAGACACACAGAATGCTTCCTTGGGCCCAGCTTGGTGCTAAACCCCTTAGGAGCATCACTACATTTATTTTTGTGATTCACGACAATCTGATGAAGTGGGTATTGTCCTTGTTTTAAAGTTGAGGTAACCAAGAATCAGAGAGGCTTAGCAACTTGTCAAAAGCGGCCCAGTTAAGAAGAGGCAGAGCTGGAATGTAGCACAGCACGCTGGATTCCAGGGGCTGGGCTTCTCGGTGCACAGTGTTTTTCATGCCCAACGCCAGGGTTGTCTGCTCTGCACCAGGGCCAAGTAGAGTGCCTGGACACAGAGGGTGCCTGGTAAAGGTTTATTACATCTTTTCTCCTTCAGTTGGAACAATCATGGGGATGGAAAAAGCAAAACAAAACAAAACAAAAAAACCAGGCAACTCATCAGGTAACAAGTTTCCTGTTGATCTAGGAGTGATTGGCAGTGGTTCAACATATTTGAAATAATGAAAGTTTTAAATGAACCGCATTCTATTCCCTGATTACTCAGCTCAGTTTAGAAAATAAATAAAAACTGAATTAAATAAATTTGGCTTTCATGTTTGGTGTACAAGCAATGCTCTTTGATGCTCCCTCTGTCATTCCCTTTTTGTCTCACGATGCCATAATTTTGCTGTACGATTAACATGTTTGCTTGTTGCTTTTCAAAGAAATAGTTGTATTCAATGAAATGCTTAGAGACATGAACTCGGAGGCAGTCCTCAGAAACAATACTCAGCACGGTTAGGCCTGCTTGTGCCGTATTTCCACGGAAAGCCAGGGCTTCGATGATTTTACAGGACAGTGTCTCACTCTTTTTCTTCCTTAAAAAAATAATCAAGTATCTAGAGCTGTGCTATTTAACTGAGTTTTCACAGGACCCTTTCTGCTCCCCTCTGTTTGCTTATTTTATTCTATTTTTTGAGATGGAGTCTTGCTCTGTCACCCAGGCTGGAGTGCAGTGACAGTGATCTTGACCCACTGCAACCTCTGCCTCCCGGGTTCAAGCAATTTTCCTGCCTCAGCCTCCCAAATATCTGGGATTACAGGTACCTGCTGC